AGGACAGCAATAGAGAGATCCTAATTGTTGTAAGCATGATTTAAAAGTATCAAGATTGCAGACAACTTCACTATTGCCTATTTTTCATCCTTATTGTTTTGCTTTACTTAAATATTTTTCTCCTTTTTGAAATTAAGAAAGAATCCTTAAAATTAAAATAAATCAAATTAATAGCCTTAATTATAATACCGTGTTTCCCCAAAAATAAGACACTGTCTTATATTTTTTTTGACTCACAAAAACACACTAGATCTTATTTTTGGGGTAGGTCTTATTTTTTATTTTATTTTTTAATGTGTACAACAGTCCACGCTTATTCATGTACAACAGCATGGATACATGTACATTTGGTATCACTCCACCTGTGACAGGAGCCGGCGCTATAGAGGAAGCATAGGCTTATGTGGCTCTGCTTCCTCCACACAGTACTCCGCCTGTGACAGGAGCCAGCACTATAGAGGAAGCATCAGCTTATGCGGCTCTGCTCCCTGAGCGGAGGGAGCAGAGCTGCATAAGAATGTTTCCTCCACACAGTGCATTAAGTTAAAGTTAAGTTAAAAAATAAAGTTTAAAAAGGCTCTTTATGTTCCCCACTGACCCTGGGAATAAACACAGCTAGGTCTTATTTTCGGGGTAGGTCTTATATTTTAGCAAGTACCAAAAATTGTACTAGGTCTTATTTTTGGGATAGGTCTTATTTTCAGGGAAACATGGTAGCAATGTCTAAGAGTAGGGATAGCAAATAAATCCCTACCAGATGCCCTGTATTAGGCAGATTATGGAAAAAAAACTAACCCCCAACTAAAATTAACTCTCTTGGATTGCCTGCTAAAAGGAAAAGAATAAACATTTCAAAAAGGAAGAATGCATGATCATTTTAAGCTGCTCTCCTGTACATGTTTTTTGACCCTGTGGGCAAATCTGAGAATTTGAGAAACTTCTGAGAGTACAACTACAAAATGCTTGATTAGCAGATCACTGCTTTGGCATCTGCATTTCGTGTCTGTGGATCTTAGGCGTCCTCTTATTTAGTAAAAACTTTTGTATCTATTGGACCCTGCAACATCTCTTTACTAGAAAATGATCTAATTTAGGTAATTGCTGGCTGTGCAATGCTTCTTGTAAGTATATGTTTTGACTACGTCCTGTACCTGCTTCTATTTGGGAGTAGATTCTTATACAGGTACATTCTGTAGTAGAACAGTCTTTAAAATTCACTGATGTACCAATCTTTTTTATGTCCCAGCTTCGTGGAAATGATTAAACAGGATAAGAAATCAGAAAATGACTTTTCTATGCCTTTTTGACAGCTAAAAAGCAAACACTGAATGGTTGAACAATATTGGAAGAATAAACATTGACCTGCTATAATGCAATCAATTGATGATCTTACAACTAATTTTTTTATGTATTTTATTAAAATTTTTAAACTAACACTAAAAAAAAAAATCAAACATCACAAACATTGGATTCACTGGGGCAACCTCCTACTACATATTTTTAACATTCTAATATCAAATTCCAATTAATTTATCATAGTTTGAAAAACATCTCTAAATTTACACCAAGTCCCATTTCTCCAGCCAATTATAAAAAGAATCCCAAGTTCGATAGAAATCAGTATCCTCTTTCTCCTTCAACGATAAAGATCTTACAACCTAAATTTAACAGCCAACTGCTATGGAGACTCACTTGAATATCATTTAGCATGTGATGACCCTCTTGAGCCTATAGCAGTTTGCTGCTGAATGTCCATGGGAAATCACGGACTTTTTGCTGCCACAGGTAATTCAGTGGCAGGAGTTGCAGCCTTTGTAGGGTCTGGAGGCTGGAAACTGGCTCCTGGATTGCTTAAATTGCACCCTTGATATATGTGTACAGTGGTCTGCAAATCAGTGAAGCATGGCTTTTTTGCCTGCAACTGAGCATTGGATTTGGGCTGGGCAGGCAACTTACAGGGGATAAGTGAATTAGATTGACTATAGCTGTAACCTGAGGTGTGTTTTGCATCGTGTTGTGGGAAGTATGTTTGGTTAGACAACAAGCCATTCATTGGCAATAAGTGACTAGATAGGGTGGTAATTTCTTTTGAAGCATTTCAAAGCATTCTCAGTTAACCCCAAGATTAACTACCCACAGCTGTTTCAGAGTAGTTTTTTTTTAGTGGAAGGCAGGCAGAGGGAATGCTGAGTTGACTGCAGAAGTGAAACTTTGAAAGAGGTGAGTTAGACTTTCCCTTCCAGCTGTTTTTGTAATTTTAATCTACTACCCATCTACCACTCTATAAGGGCCTTTCCTGGGGTGGCAAAGTGATGAGTCCCTTATGGTATTACCAGAGTAGCTGGAACATATGCAAAGAAGGTATGCAGGCTATTGGGTTCTGAAAGTCGGTCATATAAGCCAGTGGTTTTCAACCTTTTTATAGTTGGGGACCGGCAAAAAAAGGAAAATTATTTCAGGGACCACTGAGGCAGAAATAAAAAGCATTATATACATAATATAGTATTTTGTGTATTAGTTTTGAAATATAGTCCCAAAAAAAGAAAATTCTCTAAAATAACCAGAAATTGAGCAGTAAAAATGCTAATAAAAGAATAAAATATTGAAATTAAATGTAATCAAATGCAACTGAAATTTTTAGAGAGCAATATGTAATTCAGATAAGGCTACTGTGAAATCTGCTGTTGCTTCATTTCAAGAATACTTGATTAAAAATTTACAACACAAATTTACAAAAATACAACTTCAATATAAATGCAATACTATACTCATAGCAAATACAAATTCAAATACAATATCAACAGCAGAGCAATACAAAATCAAAGTTACAAACCCTGTACACACCAGCTCAGACTGGATGGGAAAACACCTCCAGCACAATCCTGCCACAGCGTTTCCCTTCCCAGTAGAAACCACAGCAGAGAAAGCAAAAGGCCTGGTTTCTGGGTCTCTGCCCAGAGGGCAGGGCAGGCCAGGCACGGTGTGACTCCCGCTGGGCTCCTATTGATCTGCCTCTCCCCTCCACCACGGGGAATCGGCAGCGAGCCCCATGCTGGTCCTGGTGAGTGAGATGTGGTTTTTGTGCGTGTGCATGGCAGAGGCTCTTTCACAGACCGGCAGGAAATGCCAGCGGACTGGTGCCGGTCCATGTTGGTCCATGAACCGGTGGTTGAAAAACACTGATATAGGTAACTAGTTCAGGTGGGTCAGTTTGTGTGTATGAGTGATGGAGATGTGACTCCTCCTGCAATCTTGACGCTACCTGTGAGAAGCTATCCCAGTTCCTCAACAATGTAGCACACCTGAAATCAGAAGCACTTGAGATACAGTGGGAGCACAGGCAAACAGGAGAGGTGGCTCAGGAAGAAAATGGATGGGAAATAGTGCAAATGGGGATGCATCAAGCTGTGGGGAATGAGGAGCTGTATGAAAAGTGGAGAAAGAGTGAGAGGCAGAAAATGAAGAAAACGAGATGCGAGGAACTGAGGAAAGGATGATATGATCCCTAAAAAAAAGTGAAATTATTTAGGTATGGGAAGAGTCCTGAAACCCACACATGTAATATGTGTGTAAATAAAAATAAAAGAAACTTCCCTGTAGCTCCTGTTGGCCTAAATTACCTGCAAAAAGAAAGATGGATGCTGCAAATCCAAAACATACTAAAATATAATATGCTTGTGCAACTTACAAGACTTTTTATGAGTTCCTTTGCAAAAAAGATGGTTGCCAGAATGCCCTTCTTTTGCAAGAAACAACCCACACTTGTGTTGCTATCACAGGGCATGTAGGCAGGAATATCCATGATCCCAAGGCCACTAGTATGCATACAACAAAGGCACCCAAATCTTCATGGTGGTTACATAATAGCTTTATTTTCTGCTCTCCAGCACTTCACATCTATTATTTGTTGCACATAGTTGGGTGGGTGTTGTGGCTGAAAGAGAACATGGTTTGTTCAATCCATATGAGGAGTTCATGGCAGAGGTGTCATGTGAATCAACATTTTCCTGATTCATAGCCCAATCTCTATTGCAGTGCTCATCAGGACTCCTTTAATTGACAGGGTGGACCTTTTGACATGGATGGAGATGCATATTTGGAATTACTATTTCTGGTGTGTGACGTACAGCTGAATTGGGCCCTGATTTTGTTCTTTAACTATTTCATTTTTATACCACTCAATAGCTGAAGTTCTCTGTTGTCATTCCTGTCCTGAGAACATCTTATCTGGGAAAAGCTGCAACTACTATTAATTTTTAAGTAGGCAATTAAGGGCCATCTGCACTCTTGAGCAGGAAGCTTTTGCCAGGAGTATAATCTTTTATATAATCAATGTTATTCTACATGAGCTTGCTCAAGAATTATACTGGGAGCCCTATTCTCTTGCCTGCCTGCAAAAACCATTAGGCACTAGGGAGAGAGGTTTTTCAGTGAGGTTTTTCACATCTTTGGAACTCCCTCCCTGGAGATATGTATAGCTTTATTACATCTGGCTTTTAAAATAAACTCGAAAGGTACATTTCCAGTTAGTATTTGGTCCTTAAAATTCATTGCCTGTAGTATGTATGTTGAATTGTAATCTACTATCTCATGGCTCTGCATTCTGAAAGGCAGCTTAAACTCTTATGAATAAATAACAGAATAAATTATTCCTTGGTGACTTCACTAAAAGATCTGTTAAGAATTGTTCAGTTACAATAAAGATGGTGATAGATTCTGCCCAGTAAGAAAACACCTGTTTGAAATGTGCATTATATAGTTTCTGAATAAATGTGCCTCAAAGTGTGTAAAGTGCAGCATGAATATGCACGTGTGTTCCATGTTTTACTGTGGAAGCTGGGTTAACTGGTGTGTTTCCTGACCTGTGTACTCATGGAAAAAAGCTCTCCTGCTGCACTTTACAAGAAAATTGTTGAATAGTTGTTTGCAGTTTTCCACAGTTCTCTGAATATTGTGAGAATTCAGATTTGCAGATCTCAGGTTCTAGTTGAGTTTGTTGGAGTTCTGCCTTGGCTTTGTCTGCGAAATGAAAAGTGGGGTGATTCTCCAGCTCCCTGTGGAGCACTCAGAGAAACTCTGTTATTGTTGGTGGAAATGTTTCATTCTCCCACCCCCTCCTCTCTCTCTTGGATGCAGGAAGTTACATCATTATGCATAATAAGGGAATTGGAGAGCTGTCTGGGCTGTTTGAAGGGGACTCTAGTCTGTTCTCACGGTCTGATCAAGTGTGCAACTGGCAGTGCAGAAAACGTACTGATAATATTTAGGGAGTGTGCAAAATTCACATGCAAAAGAGAGTGAAGGGAATCTGGCAGACACGTCAAGAGAAATTATTAGAAGGGCATAGACTTGAGTTACAGTCTGCATTGTCTTGACACAGTTGATTTTATGGACTCCTTTTTTTGTTTTGAAATCTGAACAGAAGAGGTTTCATTATGAATCACCAAGCTGCAAAGACAAGAAGTGATAATTATCTGAGCATAAAGGTATGTTCTATGCAGAAACACTAATACAGGATCACCAAAAATCCTTTTTGGTATCTATGTGTTTAATTAACTACATCTAGCAATTATTTTATTCTAAGTTATTTTCAAATATAATTATGATATTTAAGCAACCTGTGCATTTTACATGCTATTATCTCATTTTGGTAATAACGATAACACCTTCACTGAATCAGTGAAAACCTGTTGAAATACTTTTTCCTTGCATGCCTTGAAAGAGATTAATAGATGAAATCCTTTAATTTTTAGTTGTATGAGATAGATGGCTGTACTATTTCTCATTGTGAAAGATATGGAAGTTTTTAGTTTACAGTAGATCAGTTCAATGAGGTAGTTTTTTGAGAGGCAGAAAACTGGAGAAGTGTATTTGTAATCTTATACAAACTCTTAAAAACAAGTTCTGGAGTGGTATTTTATATTACAATTTTCTTTGGAGATAGTTCAAATTAAGATTTTTTTCCTTTGGTTTTTATGATTTCCTGCAGATATTTGTGCAAAATGCTAAGAAAACTTTGCATGTGCACTTGATGTTAATAAATCAGATATTTTCAAACAGGGTAAGTTCTGAAAAGTAGGAGGTTTGGTTTTTCGGTTTCAAACAACATGATGTATCTATAAAACCATAGGTGTGACTCTGATAAGTACTTCAAAAGATACCATGCTGCAACTTTAATTCAGAGATAAATTCCTATGCCTAACGTTAGTGCCAAAAGATACATACACATTACTTGAAATCTGGGTCTAGTGACTATGTCTTTTTTATTATTCTATTTTTATGTTAAGGTAGGTGCAGGATACTTGATAAAGCTCTTAAAAAGCCTGTCTATTCCTCAGGCTAGCCAGATTGGTCCCCCTTTGCCTATTTTAGAGGACGGTGGTGGTGGTGGTGTTGATGAACAATTGTAGCTGCTAAATAAAGATTTAAAATGATGTCTGTTTTGGCATTTAGATATCAGGGAATTATGTACTCTTTCTTTTTGTGACTGAACAATTTGATTTTGGGGATAGAAGCATCCTGGAAACCTCAGCTTTATTCATTTTCCTAGCCTGCAAGGCTGCATAAATTAGCTTTTGTAATATGTAAGTATGTGATACGTGAAAGTGTGTGTGGGTAAGGGAAAAAAGTATTTTCCCATTCCTTCAAGCTTTGGTCTGGTACTCTAGCTCTTCCTCCTTAAGCAAAGCCAGAGTGATTCCTTCCTGTCACCTCCATGCCATGAACTGTCTTGAAATACAAAATTATAAATAACTGTATCTCTGGGCATAGATTGCCTTATTACACCCTAAGCAAGTGCAGAACCTCTGAAATTAAGGGGCATTCCAGGGGAGATAATAGGGCTATCATGCAGATCTCTTTCCTTTTGAATGACTGTACAGCTTACTGCTTATGGTGGTCTCAGAGCACCAGTAGACTCTATGCTGGTACTTCGTATCTGAGTGCATCGATCCTGTTTCTGTTCTGGATTAAAGTATGGTTAAAATTCAGATGGGACAGAATTTCCTGTGGACAGGGAGCTATATTTGAATGCCTGGCTTGAAGTCCTTGCCCTGCATCATAAAAACAGTACATTAATTTTTTATGCCAAGTAGGCAAATACATGCACAATTGCATAATTTGGCAGACAGCCTAGCCAAATTAAGAAGGTGCCTTCCTTGCAGTGTTAGATCAAGGTCAATGTAATTCAGCATTTTCTTTTCCAGCACTGCCCAGCTAGATGTCTTTGAGAGCTCCCAAGCCTGTCATGCAAGAGGATGGTGTCCTCCTATTGATAGTGCAGAACAATATACCAGCATTTTCAGAAAATTCTGATTTACTGGAAATAAACTACATGCTCATTTTTTATAGTCCATACATACATACAGTCCATTTTTCCTCCTTTGCTCCTCCTTGCTGGTATGGCTCCTAAACAAACCAGGACATTTTTGTTCAGTGTGGTGTCTGATTCTAGCTTCTTGCACCCTCTATATGCCAGAATTACAAACCAGAATTCGTTTGTGTTTTATAAATCCTGGATCACTTGAAAATGACAAGCCAGAATCTCCAGTTCAGACATCAAGTTAAACAAACTCACCCTGGTTTGTTTAGTAGTTGAGCTAGTGGGAGAAATGAATTAGCAATAGACAGTCTATGTATATCAATCAGCAGCATCTCATCCATGGTAAGCCTAGTTTCCAGAGAATTCTTTAGAATCTTGGCTTCTTATTCTGTACAAACATTTTTGTAATGGTATCCCATTGGACTCCTCTGTGGGCTCCTACTGCTAAATAACTAGCATCTAGAAACAACTTTTTTAAAAAAAATCTTAGTTAATGATGTGCAAATTCTAGAGCATTTCAAGTGTACAATTATAATTTCCTCTCTTCAAAAATATACAAAGAAGAAATAAGGACACCAGTTTGGTAGAGAGAAATGGAAAAATGTTAGCGATATTCCTATGGAGGGTAGGACACAGTTATGACTGGTATGGAGAGAGCACTAGAGATTATATTGCAAATACATGTTGTCTACTGGAGCACACCAAAGAATTTCAGAAAAAGTTCCATCTATGTCTTATTGACTACAGTAAAGCCTTTGACTATGTGGATCATGAGAAGTTATAGATAGTCCTGAAAGAACGGGTGTGCCTCAGCACTTGTTTGTCCTGATGCGGAACCTGTATCATGGACAAGAAGCTACTGTGAGGAGAGAATATGGAGAAACAGAATGGTTTCCCATAGGCAAAGGCTTCAGACAAGGCTGTATTTTATCTATTTGTTCAATCTGTACACAGAAGTTATTGTAAGGAAAGCTGGATTAGAATCAGAGGAAGGTGTGAAAATTGGTGGAAGAAACATCACTAATTTAAGATATGCAGATGGCACTGGCAGGAAGCTGCAATGAATTGAAGCAACTCCTGATTAAAATGAAAGAAGAAAGTACAAAAGCAAGACCCCAAGTTATTCATCAATTCAGAGGGAGATCGCAACCAAGAAATTCAAAGAATACTGAGACTTGGAATGGTGGCAATGAAAGAATTAGAAAAGTCCAGCAAGCATATGGACATTTTACTGAAGACCAAGGTCAAGATCATGCAAATTATTATATTCCTGATCACAAAACCTGGACAGTGAATAAGTTGATAGGAAGAAAATTGATGCATTCAGTGGTGCTGGACATCTGCTTTGCAAATACCGTGGACAGACAGAAAGATAAGTGGATCCTAGATCAATTCAAATCAGAGCTTTCCCTAGAAGCAAAAATGACAAAACTGAGGCTGTCTTAGTTCAGATACATTATGAGAAGTCCAAACTCGCTGGGGAAGGCAATCATGTTAGGGAAAGTAGAAGGCAGAAGATGAAAGGAAGACCAAATATGAGATGTATTGAATCCTTAAAGGAAGCCACAGCCTCCAACTTGGAAGAACTGAATGGAGCTGTCAAGGACAGGACTTCCGTTCAAAGGGTCACTAGGTCCGAGATGACTTGATGGCACATAAGAACCTGAAGAGGGATAAGGTAGACACTAAATGCAAGGGGGAAGTATCTGCTATTTGAATGTTTGGATGAATGTAGGAGGCATAATAGCACGGCTAGGCCACAGGCTGGGTCCTGAAACAAGGGCCTTTAAGGCCAAATGGTCAGGCATACTACCTATACCTCACCCCAGGCTATCATGGAAAGGCTTAAAAATTCATGCTGTAATGCTTAAAATACCATTCTGCATTTGTGCTAAGGGTTGTAGTGGTAAACAGTGGGCAAGAACTGTTTGGATGTATGAATTCAAATCTCTACAGAACCAGGAAGCCCCAGAGCTGCTGATGCCACTCTTTCCCACCTAGTGTTGCCTAGACTGTAACTCCCATCATTCCTACTGAGTAGGGCTCAACTTTACGCTTTATGCAGCAGTACTACTGCATCAGCGTTTGCTGTGATTCACCTTTAAAAGGACCACAGCTGACTAACTTCATGCATGGCCAGAAATATTTTTAATTATTAAAGAAAAAAAAACTACTCTCCAGTGACAATTCTTCTGAAACTGCCCAGGCTTTTCTTCTTCTGCTTTGTTTTGTTAATGGAACTGCAGTTATTTCAGTTAGAGGAATTGTATCCTCAGGATGTGACTGTTCAAGTAACAGGATGTGAGGAAGCTTTTTCCCAAGTATTTACTGATCATTTCTGTGCACTCCAGTGCTTAAGTGGCTTGCCCTCTCCTATACCTCTAAGCAGCTTTGAGCATTAAATCCTAAGGAACAAGGAAGTCCCTGATAATGGTGATGAGACACTCTCTGCCTTCTTCCCCACCCAATCTTACTTTTAAGTTTGTGTTGTTCATGACATCCATTAAATTAAAGGTCAGAGTGCCCAGGTGTTTCCTTTAAAACAAGAGACTGAGATTACTTTTCTGTTGGCATTCGGCCCTCATTATCTCTAATACTAAAAGAGGATGCGTATCTGTGCATCTGTCTGTCCATCAAAACCAAACCTCCAGGAACATGAAAACGAGACCCTATGGATGTGTGCCTTAGAGTTATTTTGATTTCAAAACACAATATTAAAATTAATATAAGCATGTCTGTGGTTGAAGCCTGCAATAACATTCTCAATCATAAGGGGCAGACTTCCTTAACCAGCAATTAGCTTTGCTGTCAATACATTTTGAAGCCAGAGGGGATTACCGGTTGTCCCCCTCCACCCCTACCCAGAGAAGTGGACAGACCTCTCCCTTAGAGCTAGAGGGCTGCACAGGTGACTTCACTCAGATGAAGCAAGCAGAGTGTGTGCTGCTGTGTAAGTGTGCTTGGAAGCTTCCGTGTTTCAGACGCTGTTCTAACCAATGTGAATTTGGATCCATTTGTCAGTTATTATTTAGCTATAAAAAAGGATGCCTGAGTTGCCTGTCATCTGCCCACTCCTGCTGTGTTCGCTCTTCCGTGAGATGTATGACAGTATCACTTTTGCAGCAACAACAGTCTACAAAACGGTTGTGAGATGACCATTGTCTT